CTGTCCCCGCAGTCCTTGTCCAGCGCTTAGCTGGGCCTGGCTGATGGGACTTTACTTGCAGCCCTGAAGTTCTTGGCCTGGCTCCAGCTCTGTCTTCTGCCCAGAGTGGGAAACGGACTCCTCACTGCTGATACTGCTCCATCTTTCCTTTGCGGTAGCACTTTCAAAGTAAAAAGTATTTTCAACAAGTTTATCTGATGGTATTTTATGGCTTAGAACTGTTGATTTGCATGGGACTCTCCAGCTCCCTTCAGCCTGGCTCTGGCTGCCTGCTCCAGCTCCTTCTGGGATTTCTGAGGTATGATTGCACTGGTTTCTCCTTTAGTTCCTTGAGTAGGCCCCTCCCTCTCCCTCTTAGAGACTGACTTTTAAAATAGTAGCCACTCTGTCTGGGGTTCTTGTTGTATCCTGTAGTGTTTGACCCCTTTGCACTCAGAACTTTCGGTTTTACTAACAGATAACTTCTGAGTGAGGTCTGCCTCGATTTCTTCAAATGTTACTCCCCACTTCAATCCACACATATGTCCCCTGGTACCTGTACCTCCCTGTGGGAAGTGGCATTACTCTGAGGACTAATTAACTCCTGGATTCTCAGTTTCATGAGCGTGGGGTCCTGGTTTCCCCCAGAGTAAGTAGAGTCGTTGGCACATGGTGAGCACTCAGTGAACTGAGGGAGCCAAGCAACAAAGAAGTTCCAGATCCCGATGAAAGTGCTGAGGCCGATCTCAGGCCAGGGGGCTGCCCTGTGAGCTGGAACCAGTTTGCATCTCCATTGTGCCCACAGTCCTGGCACCCTTGCCCACTCACTCCAGTGAAAAGAATTTCGTAGTTCATTTGTGACCTTTTATAAGTTACTGATTTAATACCCTTTGTTTCTTTATCTACTTTTACCTTATTACAATTTTTCTACTAAAGGAATTTACCTTTTTCACATGTAGCAAATATTTTTACCTTGACTTATTTTTTAAAAATCATTTTTCTTGGATGTAGAAAAATGAATAATTTTTATATAATTTAAATCTCCTGATCTTTTGTGATTTTTTTTTTTTTACTTTAATTTTGGAAAGTCCGTTCATTCCCAATATAAGTGAGCATTGTGTTTTCATACAGTGTATCTGGGTTTTCATGTTTTGTAGTTAAGTTTTACTGCATCTGTGATTTTACACTTAAGATCTGCCTTTTCTTTTTTCCCACAGTGCTCAGCAGTTGTTTTTAAGTCACGTTTAAAGTTAGCAGAGTTCTTCCCCAGGCCTCTGAGACCTGGGCCCTTTCCTCTGCTTTTTATTCTGCTTCCTTGATTAATCCATGTTTCCATGCATTTTCTGCCAGCTTTAAATAACGTTCCTTTACAGAACGTTGTGATACCTTGGGAAACTTCTCCCTCCTTCCTTTCCTTCACTATTTATTTTTATTTTCATTTTTTCTCTTTTTTTTTTTTTCTGAGAAACATGAAACATGAGATACTACAAACAGGGTTATTTGGAAATGTCTTTATGCCCATGTGTTGGACCAGTGGCATCAAAAACCTTGGTAGTAGCTCCACAGCTGTCCTGTACTCTTCTGTTGAGTGAGGTATTCATTCATTCTAAGAGGTGATACCATCTTCATACCTAGGAGTATTTAGAAAGTAAGCAGCTTTCATATGGATTACTGAAAATTTAGAGGAAAGTAAAACAACGGGGACAATTTAGACCTGCGTTTGGCCCATGTCCTTCTCATTGCCCACATGACTACACAGGTGCATATGGGGTGCTAGGCCTGTGTGCATGTGTAGGCCCATGAGAGCGAGACTCCACTTTTGTATATATTCTATTCATATTTGTCTTGCCCTTTGGTAGATATTTAAGAAGGCTGAGTACAGAAAACAAAGCTTAGACATTTCCTTTAGGTAAACAGAAGACCTAATCAAGACCTTGAAGCATGTTCCCTCTAGTAAATATTATACACATTGCAGTTGTATGTGTTAGTTAATAAAATATTTAATGTTTGAGATACTATGTTTTTCAAACCATTGTAATTTTCTACAAATTCTTCTTCTGGTGAATGCGGGGAATTACTGTTGGCAGCTACTTCAGTGTTCTGCATATTGCTTCAGGGAAAAGATGTGTGCATTGGTGGGCTGTGCAGTCTGTGGACACCCTCTTTGAGCAGCCTCTGGACTCTTTGGTAATTACACAGATGGAAAAGATATTTTACTTAGTGAAATCCTTTTAGAGGGGAAGTGATTGGTTAAATATAATTTATTCAGTGACTAACACTTCAGTGTTTCATCTTTATGTGTTTCTTATCATGATGTAACATTTCATTATTTCAGTATTTCTAAAGCTAATTCACTTTTTTACTGTAGAATTAAGAAAAAGAATGGAGTGATTGTGTTTAATGTGGGCATCTGAAAGTGTGTTTCTCATTGCTAAGGAAGGTGCTTTCTGCAAGACGCTTTCCAGTCATCCCCCCAGACTGTAGTATTTCTTTAAAACAAATTTCCTCATCTGTAATTTATATAGTTGATTTGTTGACAGATTTATTTCACTCTCCCTTACCGAATCTCACTAGAATGTGAAATCCAGGAGGGAAGAGACTTGGTCAGTTTTGCTCCCACTTTCATCACTAGCATGTATTAGGGCAGAGGGGGCTGTGTGCTCTGAGTAAGCGAACCCTGGTTGACTTCCTCAGACTTCCTTGGTTTCATCAGCAGTTGGGGAAAAGCCCTGAGCACAGGAATCGCCATGTGTCCCTACCCTCCTTCAACAGGGATTGGGCTGGAATCCAAGGACCAGAATATGAACTGGCTCCTCTGATCCTGTGCCTCTCACCCCGAGCAAGGCATGGGCCTTAAATACACCAGGACTAACCTCAAGATGAATTCTGTGTTTGTTTTATGTTACTTAACACAAAAAGCCCCAGACTCCAAGTCTTCATCCTTCAGATTCTGCATTTTAATAGCCATGGATACTGTGTATCTTCATTCTTACCCTTGGTCTTTTTTTCACTGTGCCTGCAGAATTCACTTTCTCTTTTTCCTTCACGACCTAAAGCTTTTATATCTATGGACTCCTCCCCAAATGTGCCTTCTTGCTCTCATTAAAATGTGGCTCTTTTCTGAGGGCCCACATCCTAAACAGACTCTTTGTTGGCCCTAGTTTTGGCTCCTGTAACCTTAGTGCCAACCCACCTGCAGGTAGGCCCCCTCTCCAGCTCAGTCTCTTTCGTGCCTTGACTCCAGTTATTTTCCAACCTTCTCCTTCTCACTGTTCCTAGCCCCTTCGATTTTCTGTTTGAAGAAATCCAGTTGGCCAATTTTATTTATGATTGTGTTTTTATTGTTCTGAGGACTCTTTAACTAACCCACGTTTACAAATGTTTCTGCTCTGTTTCTCCTGTTTTCTTCTAGAAGTTTTTTAGTTTCAGGAATTGTACTTATGAGTATCCATTTTGAGTATTTTTGTCTGCTGTGCAGAGTATGGGTGTGTTTTTTGCATATGGACATTGTTGTTGCCAGTACTGTTCTTTGAAAAAGTGATCCTTTTCCTACTCCATTGCCTTTAAACTCTTTGCCTGTGAGTTTATCTCTGGACCCTTTTCTGTTTCTGCTGCATTGATCTGTTTGTCTGTCTGTAAACATCATGCTCTTTTGGTTACTGTTGCTTTATAATGCTTTTTGAAATCCAGCCCTCCACCTTTGTTCCTTTTCAGAGTTGTTTTGGTCATAGGCCCTTTATATTTCCCTATAACTTTTATAATCAGCTTGCCAATTTGTACAAAAAAGCCTTCTGCAGTTTTGAATGGGATTGCATTGAATTTGTAAACCCATTTGGCAGAGAACTGACATTTTAATAATATTGAATCTTTTGACCCACGTGTGAGATACATTTTTCCCTTTAAATTTTTTTTTCTCAGCAGTGTTCGCTGTTTTTTGGAGGTTAGTTGTCTTTTATCTCGGCTTTTAAGATTTTCTTTTTTTGTTTTTTTTTTTCTTTGAGACAGAGTCTCACTCTGTCACCAAGGCTGGAGTGCAGTGGCATGATCTCAGCTCACTGCAACCTCCGCTTCCTGGGTTCAGGTGATTCTTCTGCCTCAGCCTCCTGAGTAGCCGGGATGACAGTTCCGTGCCACCATGCCCGACTAATTTTTTTGTGTTTTTAGTAGATAGGAGGTTTCAGCATCTTGGCCAGGCTGGTCTCGAACTCCTGATGTTATGATCTGACCACTTTCCCCTCCCAAAGTGCTGGTATTACAGGAGTGAGCCACTGCGCCCAGCCTAAGATTTTCATTATCAGTTTTGCGCAATTTGATTATGATGTGCATAGGTGTAATTTCCTTTATGTTTTTTATGCTTGGGGTTCATGTAACTTTTTGAGTCTGTGGGTTCTACTCTCCATCATAGTATACGTGATATTATGTAGATGTTTAAGTATATGTGAAACTTTATCAGTGACTTTTCTACATTAGATATTTTGTAGGTAAGAATTTATTCACATAGAGAAGTTACTTTTAGTAATAAAGCTTTAGATAGAACTTTTTCAGTCCTCTCCTGTGTTTGTAAAACTGTTAAGAGAGGGTGATTTTATATGTAATTTGCTTTATTTCTTTTTGGTCAGTTATATGCTAATTAATGCCATTTATGATACTAACTTAAGGATTTTTACATCTCTGTGTTAAGTTTCATTGCTCAAATTTTTTAGTAATATTTCTGATCATTGTTAACTTGACTGAACTGAAATAATTACAAAACATGGGAATAACTTTCTGAGTGGAAACCCCTTTTAAATTGCTGTGAAGAGATTCTCCCTCTATATTTTTATTGGGAGATAAATAATTATTTGTGTTTGGAAGTTTACTAAGAGAAGTCAATTATTAGTGACTGTCTGAAAGTGTAAGTATATGGAAATTTCTGAAGTATTTTTTTCTGCAGCTTATTTCTAAAGTCATTTTTTCATTGAAAGTTCAATTGGGTGTGCTATTGTTGCCTGGAGCTGATTGTACTTCTTTTTTTTTTTTAGGTAAAGTGCAGGTTAAGAGTTCAGACATACAAGTTGGAGACCTCATCATAGTGGAAAAGGTTGATGAATTTTTAATATATTTTAGACCTATGTTTATTAGTTATTAATGGTTAGCTGGATTGCAAGTAACTTCTGAATTTGAAAGAAATTGTTTGAGACGTGTATTTTAAATTATAATATCCTGTGTAAGATTTGGTGTATATGAAGAAGAATCTAGATTTTTGTATATTCTGTTTTGCTAAAGTATATTTCAGTGTGTGCAGGCAAATTAATTTTTTTCTGAAACAAGAAGTGTTAACTGCTTAATGTTGTATTATCGAGATTATTTTATGTCATCACAGAATTTTATTAGAACCTGTTTATAATACTGTGCTTCAGTTTTCAGAACTTCCTTCTTCAGAGGTAATCATCCCTTAGTATCCTTGAGAGAGTAGTTCCAGGACCCCACCAAGAATACCAGCATCCACTGATGCTCAAATTTCTTACATAACATTCCATAGTCTATTCATAAATAAACCTTGTATACTTTAAATCAGTAGTCCCAGCCTTTCCAGCACCAGGAACCAGTTTTATGGCAGACAATTTTTTCCATGGACCAGGGTTCTGTGGGCTTGGTTTTGGAATGAAACTGTTCTACCTCAGATCATCAGGCATTAGATTCTCATAAGGAGCATGCAACCTAGGTCCATTGCATGGGCAGTTCACAATAGGGTTCTTGCTCCTGTGAGAGTCTAATGCTGTTGCTGATCCGACAGGAGCAGTGCTCTCGACTCACCTTCTGCTGTGGAGCCCCATTCTTAAAAGGCCTGGGGATAGGGACCTCTGCTTTAAATCATCTTTAGATTATTTATAGTACTTAATACAATGGAAATGCTATCTGAAGAGTTATAATGCATTTTTTGTGTGTTTTATTGTTTTATTTGTTTTTATTTTTATTTTTTTTCCTGAATCTTGTCTCTCAATTCTTGGTTGAATTCCCATCTGTGGAACCCATGGATACAGAGGGCCAGCTGTAGTTATATTACACATAATTACTGGATACAATTCATGTGGTTAAAAGATTTTAGCGGGAAAGTGAATAGAAGTAAAAGAGCATTACTGTTTTAGGAAAAGTTTAGGGTAATATAGGAAGAAGCTGTAAGATAAATATCAGCGGTCCAAAGTGGAAATCATCAGGGCTGCTGGTGGTATGGAATGTGACTGAAGGTGCAGTCTGCATGTAGGGTGAGTACATTCAGGGTGCTCTCGTCTGCCTCATCCCCAACTGCATGAGGGCTGTGCACAGGATATCTGTGTCTGTGTTACGGGAGTTCATTCTAAAGTGCTCTTATCTGCCTACTTCCATGACTGTGTGGGTAAACTAAGATGGAATCCTGAGAAGGGCTCAGGTCACACACAAGAAGGAAGAAACTGGAAACCCAGGACTAAATATCAGAGGAGACCAACTGAAAACAAATAAAAAAATGCAGACATACATTCTAATGGTCTAAATACAGCAATCAAGAGACAGAATGGATAAAAAGCAAAAAAGCAAGGCCCATCTCTATGTTGTTTACATGAAAGTCCCTTCAAATTTAGTGTCATAGATAGGATGAAAGTAAAAGGATAGAAAAATATGTGGCATGTAAAATCACGCCAAAGTAGTAGGAACTGTATTAATGTCCAAGAAAGTGTACTTTAGAGGAAAGAAAATTACTAGAGACGAAAAGAGGCATTATATAACAAGAACAGATCAGTCCATCAGGAAGGTACAGTGATTCCAAACTGGTACTCACCAGACAACAGATCTATGAAATTCACGAATCAGAAACTGTCAGCACTGAACAAAGTCGACAAGTCCAGTTACAAGTGGGTACTTCGGCAGCACCCTCCAGGTGCTGGAGAGAAGTAGTGCACAGATGCCCAGCAGTGACGTGGAAGATGTGCACAGGACCAACCAGCAGGAGTTGCTTAGGATGCATACACCATTGTACCTGTCGATAGGAGAGTACACATTGATTTCAAGTGTCTGTAGAATATTCACCGAGATAAGCCATATTCTGTACCATGAAATAAACCTCACAAATGGAAAAGAATTGAAATCATACTGAGTGTGTTCTCTCACTATAATAGAATTGTTAAAAATCAGTAACAAAGGAAACAGGAAAACTCGAAAACGTGGAAAGTAAACAGCACACTTTGAATTAATTTATAGGATGAATTGTAAGTCACCAGGAAACAATACATACAGCTGATTAAAAGTGAAAAATCAGCATTCTGGGACAAGTGGGATGTGTATAGGGCAGTGCTGAGAGGAACTCTACAGCATGAAACTGCTATGTGGAAACAAGCAGAGGTCTCAGATCAGTAATCCACATCCCTCCTGCAAGAATCTAGGAGAAAGCAACAAAGTTAAACCAAGGCGAGCAGAAGGAAGGGAGTAGTAAAGACACAAGTGGAAGTCAGTAAAATGGAAAATAGGAAGACAAGATAGAAAATTCGTGCATACAAAAGCTGGTTCTTCTAGATAAGTTAATACAATTGATAAACCTCTTGCAAGCAAGACTGATCAAAATAAAAAGAGTGATATCCAAATCACCAGTATCAGTAATGAAATAGGGGCTTTCACTATAGATCCTGCAGCCATTAAAAAGACAGTTACAAAATGCTACAAACACCTTGATGCTCATAAATAGAAGAAATGGACAAATTCTTCTGAAACCATAAAGTATAAGAATTCAATCAAAATGAAATAGACAAGATTAATAGTCCTATAACCAGTAAAAAAGCTGAATTAGTAATTTAAAAGCTCTAAGAAGGAAATATCTAGGTTGAGATATTTTCACTGGAGAATTCCTTAAAATTAGAGAAGACTCAGCATCAACTTCACACAGTTGTTTCTGGAAAATAATTGAGAATGGTACACTACCCAACTAATTTTATGAGGTCAGGAATATCTTTATCTCAACACCAGAAAAAAGACAGTACAATAAAAGAAAACTACAGCCCAGTACCCCTCGTGAATATAGACACAAAAATCTGTTTAAAAGCGTACGAGGCCGGGCGCGGTGGCTCATACCTGTAATCCCAGCACTTTGGGAGGCCGAGGCGGGTGGATCACGAGGTCAAGAGATCGAGACCATCCTGGTCAACATGGTGAAACCCCGTCTCTACTAAAAATACAAAAAATTAGCTGGACACGGTGGTGCGTGCCTGTAATCACAGCTACTCAGGAGGCTGAGGCAGGAGAATTGCCTGAACCCAGGAGGCGGAGGTTGCGGTGAGCCGAGATCGCGCCATTGCACTCTAGCCTGGGTAACAAGAGCGAAACTCCGTCTCAAAAAAAAGAAAAAAGCGTACGAATTGATAACAGCAGTACACAAAGATAAGTAATACATCACAACCCAGTACAGGTTATTCCAGGTATATAAATGTGGCTCAGCATTCTAAAATCAAGAACAGTAATCTACCCTATCAATAGAGTAAAGAAAAATCACACAATCAGTTGTTGCAGGAAGACCATTTGACTTAACCCAACACTCATTCATGATAAAAACTCTGAGCAGGTTGGACTAGAGAGGTAATAACCACATCTTGTTTCAAAAAAATGGACAGAAAGCCTGTAGCCAACATCATACTTAATGGTGTAAGACTGAATGCCTCCTCTCTCAGACTGGGGACAAGACAAAGATGTTTGCTGTTACTACTCTTATTCAATTGGCAGTTGTAGTTGGTAAGGCAAGAAAAGAAAATAAAAGACATACAGATTAGAAAAGAAATAAAAAGTCTCGATTTGCAGATGACATAACTGTGTAACATACACATATACATGCATGTTGAAAATCCCAAAGGATCTAGAGGAAATCTCCTGGAACTAGTGAGTTCAGCATGGTGTCAAGTTAAAAGATCGATGCACAAATATGAACCTCATTTTTATATAATAATAATGAACATATGGACACAGAAATTAAAATTGCAGTACTCTCACTCATTCCTGTGAAAATGAAATCTTATATATGCTGAGACTTACAAGGTGTTGATAAAATTAATCTAAGAAAACATAAGTAAACAGACCCACTGTCTCTTTGGATGGGAATATTACACATTCCAGTTTTCCCCAAATTGTTCTGTATACTCAATACCATTCCTATCAAAATCTCAGCAAGGTTGTTTTTCTTCTTATTTTCGAAGATGTAGATAATCTTACTCTAAAACGAATTCAGAAAGGCGCAGGCTGTAGAATAGCTAAACGTTGACAAGGAAAGTCAAGTGGGAAGAATCACTCTTCCTGATGTTAAGGCATGTTGGATAGTTACATCAATTAACAGTGTGGAAGAAGGGTAGAAGCAAAGGTTAACAAAACATTATAGAGAAACCAGAATTAGACAAAGGCACAAAAACAAGTAAGTGGAGAAAAGGCAGCCTTTTCAAATGGGGCTGGGCATCCAGAGGTTAAAAAAAATAAAAAGACCATGGACGGAATGTAAAATGTTAAACTGCAAAACTTTTAGGAGAAAAACAAAATATTTAGAATCTAGGGCTATGAAAATATTTCTTAGACCTGATACCAAAAGAATAATGTGTAAAAGAAAAGATTGATAAATTGCATATCATTAAAATTTAAAATGTGTGCTTTGTGAAAACCCATGTGAATACAATGAAAAACAAGATACAGATTGGGAGAAAATACTTGAAAAGCATATATTCGAGAAACATATCTATCTGGAATATAAAAAAACTTTTAAAACAATATTTAAAAATATTAATTAGAAAATGGGCAAAAGAGTTCAAGAGACATTTTGACAAAGATTTACAGATAGGAAATAAACACTTGGGCCGGGTGCGGTGACTCACACCTGTAACCTCAGCACTTTGAGAGGCTGAGGCGGGCAGATCATAAGGTCAAGAGATTGAGACCATCCTTGCCAACATGGTGAAACCTTATCTTTATTAAAAATACAAAAATTAGCTGGGCATGGTGGCACGCTCCTGTAGCCCTAGCTACTTGGGAAGCTGAGGCAGGAGAATTCCTTGAACCTGGGGCGGAGGTTACAGTGAGTTGAGATCTCACCACTGTACTCCAGCCTGGGGACAGTGAGACTCTATATCAAAAATAAAAATAAACACATGAACGGAAATTCAACCATCATTAGTCATCAGGAAATGCAAATTAAAACAGTGAAGTATCAGTGTGCATCCATCAGTACAGCTACAATGAAAGCATGGTGACAAAACAAAATGTTGGAAACAATGTGAAGGAGCGGATCACTTGTATATTGCTTGTGGAACTATAAATAATATAATTATTCTGGAAAATTGCTACATAGTTTCTTTAAAAAAAAAAAAACCTGTGTAACTGTCATACTACCCAGCAGTTGCACTCCTGCACCTTTATCACAGAGAAATGTTAATTTAAGTTGATACAAAAAAGCCTGTGCAGGAATGTCTTTGTCTACATTATTTATAGTAGCTCAACTCCAGAAAGTTCGCATATCCCAGGTGGGTGACTAGTCAGAGAAGCAGCTGTGCATTCATACCATGGCATGCAGTGTCAGGAGAACACAGGGCTCCTTGCTTTTGTGGTGTCCTTCATCTTGAGGGCAAGGAAAAAGAAACAAAGAGTATCCAATAATTATTTAAATTATCTAGTTTGTTTATGAGTGCTCCATAGAAAATAAGACCGAATAAGGACATAGAGAGTCTGAATATGAAATTTAAAAAACTACTTCTAAGGGCCCCACATGATGCACTTTGGGAGGCCAAGGCGAGAGGATCACATATAAAGCTAAGAAGTTGAGACCAGCCAGGACAACACAGACCAAAATGTAAAGAATTAGCCAGGTGCAGTGGCACATATCTGCTGTAAAACTGCTTGGGAGACTGAGGCAGGCGGATTGTGTGGTCCCGGGAATTCAAGACCGCAATGAGCCATGATCACTGTTGAAACATATTAAACAGACTAAAATAAATGTTAAAGACAGCCCATACTCATGGTTAGAAGTACATGTTGTTCCATAAATTGACTTATAGGTTTTATGTTATCCCTCTCAAAATCCTGGTTGACATCTTTGCAGAAATTGACAAGCTGATTCTAAAATTCATATGGATATTGTAGGGACTCAGAGTAACCAAAACAATTTTGAAAAAGATGGACAAATTTTGAACACTCACATTTCACTATTTCAAAACTTAAATTCAGATTTATGGTAATCAAGACTGTGGAACTAGCATTGAGAGTCCAGAAATAAAGTCTGAATTTATGGTTAATTGATTCTTGGCAAGAGAGCCTAGAAAATGTACCAAGGTGGGAGTGTGTTAGGGCAGGCACTTTTTTTGGCCCCATGTTCTTTACGAGATACATCCATGTCGCTTTGTGTAGTTGGTACCCACCCATTTTGGTATAACATAGTGTGGTGTTTATCTGTTTCCCTGTTGATGGGTTTTTAGGTTACATCTAAGTTTTGCCTATCATGAATGATGCTTGTGTGTCATATTTGGCTATGTTTCTTGGTGCACACATCCACATATTGCTGTTGCAGGTGTGCCTAGGAGTGGTGCTGCTGTTTTGGGGCATGCAGTTCTGCTATGGTAGACCCTGCCCATGGTTTTGCAAAGCGATGTGTCAAATTATACTCCAATCAGCAGTGCCTTGGTGTGTTTGCCAACACGCACATTTTCAGCCTTTTAAAGTTAGCGTTTCTGATATGATATGTGGAAGTGGTTTGAATGCATCTTTTTTTATGTTCTAATAAGAACCAGTACTTTTTCATAGGATTTTGTGTGTCTTTCTTTTATGTGACAAGACTTGTAAAATCTCTTGGCATTTCCCTTCTGAGTGATTCCTTCTTTATCAGTTTGTAGGCCTGTATGTATTCTGGATTGGAGTCCTTTGTTAGTTATATATGCGTTGCAGATACCTTTTTTTTCCTGGCAGGCTGTGTTGAACAGAAATTCTTAAATTTAGTGAAGTCTGTTTTATTAATCTTTTCATTGAAGGTTAGTTTTTAAAGACAGTTTTTGTTGGTGATGGTCTTTATTAAGGATCCTTACCTACCAATAAGTCATGAAAATATTCTTGTAATGTTTGGTGAATGATGACAATTCAATGGGGAAAGAACTTTTTTTTTTTCCTTTTAGTCATTTTATTGTTTTGGCTTTCACATTTAGAACTGTAATTCTGGTAGATTTTTGTGTTCACATTGAGGTCGAGGTCAGGTATCGTCTCACATCATCCCCTGATGGTGCTCAGTTTTCTCAGTGCTATTGATTGGAAACACCATTATTTCCTCATTGATTGGCAGTTTCATCTTTCTCATAAATAGTGTCCATGTATATGTGGACCTATTTTTGGATGTCTATTCTTCTTGTAATCACATCTTTTCTTAACTACTCTAGTTCAATCTAGTTTTATTCAGTTGTAGAGTTAATCCTCACATTTAATTTCTCTCAACAGTATTTTATAGTTTTTAGTGTAGAGTTCTTGCACATCTTTTACTGGTTTCATCCTAGTATTAGTTATTTTTCCTAGCGTTAGAAAGAAGTAGCTTTATCCAATAACATAGTGTTTTTCAGCTTTAACATTTGTTTTTGTTATGTGTTGACTGACAGTCCATTTATTTGCATGGGTAGATAAGTCTTTACTTAGGTCTCAAAAATCATGTGTAATTCATGACAGTATGTGAAGTATTCTTATTACAATTATGTATTTTTTCTTTAGGCTGATGCAGCTTTCCTCATTGGTAGAACTATTAATGATAATGATTAAATGATAATGATTAGTGACTTGTAAAAGTTTTTCTATGCCATAAAATATCTTTGCGTTTTTCTGTGTCATGAAAGTTTTTGCTTGCTTGTTTAGTTGGAGTTCTTCTTTCACATCTATACAGTGTTTTGTGTATGATGTGCTCTGTTTTGTGTTGGGCATTGGAGGACCACAGTCCTCACTTTCTAGGGCCATTTAGTCTAATAGGGAGGACATTATTTTTTATAAGGTAATACCTGCTGGCTTACACGTACCAACTGACAGAGGGCATACAAATGGCAATATTTAATGTATTTTCAGATATAAAGCTTTTTTTTTTTTTTGACAGTCTCGCTCTACTGCCTAGGCTGAGGTGCAGTGGCATGAACATGGTTCGTTGCAGCCTTGACCTTCCTGGCTCAAGCTATCCTCAACCCTCAGCCTCCCAAGTAGCTGAGACCACAGGCATGCCACCACACTGGCTACTTTTTAAACTTTTTGTAAAGGTAGAGTTTTGCCATGTTACCCAGGCTGGTCTCAAACTCCTGGGGTCAAGTGATCCTCCCATGTTGGCCTTCCAAAGTGCTGGGATTATAGACATAAGCCACCATGACTGGCTCACATGAAACATTTTTAAAGTCACCACTGCATGTCATTATATGACTCACTAATGGGAAAAAAATCTTAGCATTTCAACTAAAATGTGAATTAAAATATTAAGTTTTTTTATATACAAATCGTGTTAGTTCAGCAAAATTTGAATTATATTATTTTAGTTGTTTTCATAGCCGTTTCTTCTTTGGGAATGGAATTGTGTTAACTTATAAATCTGCATGTAAATAATTAATCTTTTATAATGCTCTTTACAGAATCAAAGAATTCCATCGGACATGGTGTTTCTTAGGACTTCAGAAAAAGCAGGTATTTTTACATTTAAGAAAACTTATCTCTCTGAATATTATTGCAAAAACAAGTTTACAGATACCTACACAAGTGAAAACTATTTTCCTTACGTTTTTAATATGCTGCAGCAATGAGAAGTATTCTGTAGAAATGGTATTTTACTTTGAATATAAACATATGAAACCTCTGAAAAAAGAGTTCACATTTTCGTATGAAGCTACTTTATGAAGAAGTACTTTATGAAAATGTACTCCAATTACATTGCTGATGATTTAGTATTTTGGTAGTGTAATTTTCATTGTAAAAGTTAAAAGTAAAAATTACCCTATAAAATTTTTTGGATAATATTTCGAATTCATTAACCTACATTGTATTTAATTGTCAATATTTAAAAGGATGTTTGCTGTGTAATATGTTTGTTTAAAAATAATCCTGTTAGGACCTATGTATTTATTGAGTGTTTTCATTCAAATTCATAATATTCATACTGACATCTAATTAAATGATGATGTTACTTAAAATTTGATGGCTATTTTGCATTTGCAGTGTTATTCATCAATTCAGCACATACTTATTTGCCAGTTATTATTAATATGTTCCAGGCACTAATTGTTGCTTAAGATACAAAAGGGAGCAACCTTCACAGAGCTTATAGTCTGCTGGTGGAAATGCATCCCTTGCTAGTTAGTAATAAACCTAATTGTATAGGTACTATACTCAGAAACGTTTGGGGCTATGTGGGCAGAGATAATTTTGCCTATTAAGTTGACGTGGACTTTGCAAAGAAAATGCTGTTTGTATGACCTGAGCTTTCAAAAATACAAAGATGGAAAAGAAGTCATTGGCTAGAAGCCTAGTGTGGCCAAAGTGACTCAAACTCAGGTTTCCTGATTTTCAACAGTTTTTCTACAGTTTCTAGTTATGTGACCTTGTCAAGTGGACACACGTTTTCATCTCTGAAATGAGGAGGTATATCGAGTAACATTTAGAGCTTCTTTGTGCCCTACGTTCCTGACATGATTGAATAAATAAACAGTAGTTTTTATAGGAAACTAAGCATGCCATGATTTTTATTAGAAACTCAGCAAATGTCTTATTATTTCTAGTGTGAAAACTGTAGAAAGGACTAAATCAGATTTCAGAGTTGCTGATATAATTTTTCTCTGTTTATAAACAACACACTTTTAAAAGGGACATTTTTGTCATGAGAAAGAAGAAAAATGTTTTCTCTTTCTACCAGTTACAGTTATGGTTATTTACACCGTGAGACGAATTCTGCCATAAACAGGAGTTCAGCTCTACCCAATAATCAAGTGACCTCTGTACACTTGATACGTTTACTTTATCATGTGGTGTTTCATGTGAGATTTTATTTTCCCAACTGTGTCAGGGACTGGCTGGTTCCTTTTCGAAGCCATTTCCCTTTCCTCTTGGAAACACAGCTAGACTCCCTTTCCTGCCCAGTTAGCTGGTCCCATGTCACTGAACTCTGGCCAAAGAGGGAGAGCCAAAAGTCTGTATGCCACATCTAGCCCTGCCCCTAACTTCTCCTGCAGGCACCTGCTCTACTCTTCCCCGTTGCTGGTTAGATGGTCATGACTAGGGCAGTCTTGGAAACTGCTTGTTAAAGATGGCAAAGCTTCCATCAGCCTCGCATCCTGAATGAATGAGTGGAATAGAGCCCCTCTCTTCCATTACCAAGTGGACTCTATCTGGAAGAGAAATAAACTTCTATGGTTAAGTACTTTCATTTGCAAGGTTAGTCTTTTACAATAGCTAGTGTTTCCTTAATTGACTTCTCATCCTAGTTGCTCTTCATCCTGGAAGCCTTCTTACTAATTCTCTTTGCAAGTGGCAGTATTTGCTTTTGAAGAGTTAATGCTTATATTTTGAAGCCATCATTTGCCAATATTGGAGTATAATGTGCTCTTTTTCCAGTATTTCTGCTCTCAACGATAGTGTAATAAGGCCATTTAGGTGCTTTTACAGACCAGTGGGTTGGCTGCCTTCATAGTTTGTCACATGCGAATGACTCACCTTGGAGTGCCTTGCTTCACAACACAGACTACTGAGTGGGAGAGCTCTGCAAGCCTTCCAGTCCCCTGAAAGGCTCATCTCCTCAACCACAGGCTGAGGCCAAAATAGATAACCCTTGATCACGGATGTGTAGTGTGTTGCTGGATTTGATTTGCTAGTGTTTTGTTACACTAGTGGCTTTGCTTTGCATCTTTATTTACAAAGGATGTATCGGGCTGGGCGAGGTAGCTCACACCTGTAGTCCCAGCACTTTGGGAGGCTGAGGCTGGTGGATCACTTGAGGTTAGGCGTTCGAGACCAGCCTGGACAACATGGCAAGACCCCATCTCTACTTAAAAAACAAAAAAAAGATACAAAAATTAGCCAGGCATGATGGCGCAGGCCTATAATTCCAGCTACTCCAGACACGGAGGCTAGAGAGTCACCTGAACCCTGGAGGCAGAGGTTATAGTGAGCCAAGATCGCACCACTGCACGCCAGCCTGGATGAGAGGGTGAAACTCCGTCTCAAAAAAAAAGATGTATCAGCTTATAGTTTTTGTTTTTTTTCTTGTGTTATTTTTGTTTTGGTGTCTGAGCAATACTGACCTGAGTAGAATGAGTTAAGAAGAGTTCTATTTTTTTGGAAGAGTTTGTGAAGAATTATTATTCTTTGTTAAGTGTTTGATAGAATTCACCTATGAATCCCTCTGGGACTAGACTTTACTCTAATTTTAAAAAAATTACTAATTCAGTTTCTTTACTTGTTACAGGATTATTTGGATTGTCTATTTCTTTCTGAGTTGGTTTTGGTAGCTTGTGTCTTTCAGAATTTGTCCACTTTATGTAGGTTATCTAATTTGTTGTCATGCAGTTGTTTTTAGGATTTCCTTATAGTTCTTTTTATTTCTGTAATGTTGATGGTAATGTAGCCTCCTTTTTTCTTAATTTTAGTAATTGAACTCTTCTCTCTTTTTTCCTTGGTCACTCTAGCTTAAAGGTTCATCAATTTTGATCTTTTAAAATAACGAGCTTTTGGTTTTAATGATTTTTCTCAATTGTTTTTCTGTTCTTTATTTCATGTATTGGTTTCTATTTTTTATTGTTTCCTTCCTTCCACTTGTTTTCTGCTTAATCTCCTTTTTATAGATTATTTAAGGTGGAAAGTTAGATTATTGATTTAAGGGTCTTCTTTTTTAGTACAGGTGCTTATAACTAACAGTTTCCATCTAAGTACTATTTGTGCTGCATTTCATGAAGTTTGGTATGCTGTATTTTGTTTTCATACATCTCAAAATTATTTCCTAATTTCTTCATTGATTTATTGCTTATTTATTTATTTATTTTTAGTTTTTATATTGTTTTTATAGAGACAGGGCCTTGCTTTGTTACCCAGGCTGGAGTGCAGTGACATGATTATAGTTCATTGTGATAATCACTGTAACCTTCAACTCCTGGGCTTAAGCAGTTCTCCTGCCTCAGCCTCCCAGGTAGCTAGGCATACAGGCACATACCACCACACCTGGGCAATTTTTAAATTTTGTTGTAGAGACAGGCTGTATCTGTTGCTGTGCTGCCCAGGCTGGTCTTGACATCCTGGTCTCTCATGATCCTCCCACCTCAGCCTCCCACAGCACTGGGATTACAGGTGTGAGTCACCTTATCTGGCCTGATTCATTATTTATTAGTGAATATGAATTTCCACATATTTATAATTTTTTCATATTTCCTTCTGTTATTTATCTGATTTGATTCTATTGTAGCTGGAGAACAGACTTTTTGTGATTTCCGTCCTTTTAAGTTTTATTCACATTTGTGAGACGTCCAGCATGTTGGGTGTCCTTGAGAACATTCTGCATGCACTTGAGAAAAGTCTACATTCTTTGAGTGGAATGTTCTGTAGGTTTTGTTCTCATTGGTCTGCAGCGTTGTTCAAATCTTCCTCTTTTTTTCATCTTCTACCTCGTTGTCCTATCTATTATTGAAAGTACAGTACTGAAGTTTGTCACTATTTCTGTGACTGTATCTATTTTTCCTTCTAATCTGTCAGATTTTGATTCATGTATTTGAAGTTCTGCTGTTATATGTAAATACATTTGTTTCTTGGCAGATCGACCCTTTTATCTTTATAAAACATCTTCCGCCATGCCACCTCTCTTTTGCTTACTGTTTGCACCTTTTTCTGTGGTTACTTTCAACTTATTTGTGTCTTTGAACCCTAAGTATGTGTCTCGTAGACAGCATATAATTGCATTATGATTTTTCATTTTCTGTCAATCTGTGCTTTAAAAAAAATACAGTATTATTTAGCAAAATTTACATCCAGCAAAATCTACCCATTTAAAATCTTATCAGGTATGTCCACTTGCTAATTATTATGATCTTCATCCGGGTGAACTCCCTTTGCCTGTTACCCTGCTTGATCAGCCCTGCAGACCTACATCTGTCCCTTCACTGTCTCTTCTCTCATACCTGGCTGTAGAGCTCCAGCTGAGAAGACCACACAGGCACCTGACTGGAGCTCTGTGAATCAGTAGAGTTCACTGTGTAAGCCACATTGTCTCCGATGACAAGGCCCGTTCTTGACGGTGGTCATTCCAACTTTCTTAGTGTTTCTCCTTTCTGCCTTTACCACCTGTTCATTCACTCTCAGCCATCAACCCTCCCACCAGTCCCGCTGCTTTCAGCTACCGCTCCATTCCTTCTTCCTATAGGCATTGAAGCATGTCTCTACCCAGTCAGCGAAGACCACCCCTGGCCCACAGTGACCCAGCTTAGCTATTTAGGTGCCACCCCATCTCTGACCTTTGTTTAACAGCCAGACCTTTTGAATAAGACGTTTTTGTCATGACCTCATTCTACATCCCCTTTCTCTGTGAAATCTAAGTGACATTTCTCAGGATCCTGTCGTGAGCACACCTCAGTTTGTGATCTGCATTTCTTCCTGGGAAACTGTAACTTCATTCATGGCTTTATAGCATCTGATTATACATCAGAGCCTGA